TGTGGTCCTAAGCTCAATTAATGGATTTACTTGGTTTTAAAAATAATATTGTTTGAAGCATACTTCTTGAATGTTTTAAATATTTTTGTTAAAAAATTTAAGTATACTTAAACATGTTATTATTTGAGAAAATTAAAAATAATTCCAATTAGCAGTAACAGTATATAAGACTATTCTGGATTTTACATAAAAATAATTTTAAACTACTATCAAATATCATCTATACTAATATAACAACCAAAAGTTATTTCAATTAATTTTAATTTCTTGAATGAGATATTTGGGTCTGGTGATAGATAAATTTAATTGGGAATGGATTGTCTTGTTAGTGAAGGTATTATTCAAAAACTAAATAAAATATTATTTTATACCTTAGTTTAATTTTTGGTACCTATAATAGCACTCGTTTTTATCCCTTTGACTCTTATGCTTTATGAATAAATTGTAAAAGTGAGATTAAGAAAATACCACTTTTATTTGCTATTTCATATAATTTTTATTTACTTTTAAATGAGTTAGATATCCTATTTTTCAAAATCACTTACTTGTAGAGAAATAGGAAGTCATCTTTATAATCCTATTGATTTAACTATAGAATGCTACGAAGCCAGTATAGTTAAATATCTATATCCTTTCTCTTTATCAGTTTTAAGTTTTTGGACTCTCTTCCCATTAGTACTTCTAAATTAAATTAAAAAAAACAGGAAAAAATTAGATTAGTGTCTAATCAAATATAAATACGGTTATTACTATGGAGAATTAAAAGATAAATATTACTATTGGGAATTCATTAGAATTTATTTAAAGATTGCTATCATTTATTTATATACTTTATTATCTAGAAATAACTAATATACTGCAATCCTAGCGATTACAATACTTATATACTAATATATTAAAATAATATCCTAGAATAATCCTTTTATTTCATTTAGCATATAAAAGTGTGAGATAGCATCTTATAGTCTTATTATATTGAAGATTTTTCTATTAGCAATATAAAGTTAAAATCCATAAATCTAAACATTGATAGAAATATCTCAAATATTTATCGATTATTTTTTCTTTTTTTGTTTCTTGCTAATAGTAATGGGAATAATTTTAAGCAGTTCGAAGTCTAAATTAATGATTTTTGTAAAAGAACAATTATCAAAAATAATATCTTTAAAATCATTAAATAAATTCATTAAAAATAAACATGTTTCTTTTAAAGCATACCAGAAATGGAAATTAGTCTACAAAATGTTTAGATAAAGCTTAAAATACCATTAAAAATTAAAGAAAAAGAAGATTATCTTAAATATAAAAAATCAGTAAAATCTTTAGAATATCAAAAACAAGTAGATTCTTTAAGTTAAAAATAATAATTTGATTCTCTAGAGTAATTAGACTACTTAATATAATTATTCTAAGTTTAATTCTTTAAGCGTAATTTATTTTTATTTTTATTTTTTTTAATTTTAATTAATCTTTTTTAATAAAAGCCACATTAAAGATGTATAGACATTGGTTCTGCTGAATAATTTATTTGAATAATTTTATGTTTTTTAACAAAAAATTTGACTACTAATATTTTTTATATAAATTATATGTCATTAAATTTTGTAAAAGTTTTACTTTAAGATAAAATAATTTAAATAAAAAATTAATAAGAGTAACTTTCAACTATAAAGTGAACTAATTTTATTTTTTATAATTTTACTTTAAAATAATTTCTTTATTTATTTTTATTAAAATTAATTAATTTTCAGATTTAAAAGAAAAAAATAATTATATTATTTGCTAATGTTTTAACACATATGCATCCATTAAAAATGTTACTTTATTTAAAAATTAATTAATATTGTAAGGGTATCTCAAAAAAAAAAATTTAAATCTATAAGTCTCTGAAATATTTTTAATTAATTAGATATTTGACTTTTAATAAAAAATAAATATTTGGTCTGTCCTCGTCTTATAATATTTTAGTCTCCTAATTTTTGGATGACATATTTTCGGCTATTAAAATTTATGGAAGAAGACGGCTAAATTCTCTCAGTCCTTCGTCTTTTCGTCATCCTAACTAAATAGTTAACATCTCTTATTATAATGATTCTAATTAAACTGAATTTTAATTTCATATTAAATTTCTTAATAATTTGTGAAAAAATCATTCATTTTACTTTGTGGAAAAATTTTTATAGATTTTTCTTACATGAAAATAGTTCCAAAAATCAAAATTTGAATGTGATTTTCAATTCTTTCTTTATAGCCTCATTATTAGCACCTAATTAATAATTGTAATTTGATAATTAGATTTCATGGAAGAACCAATCATATCTAAAAGCTATCAAATCAATATCACGATTTTAGTAAAGCTTGCTTTTGTTTATATTAAACATAATACAAACAATGCGAAAACTCTCAAGGTTATTTAATATATCTATAAAAATATTAGAGTTAAGTTGATATAAATAGCTTGAAGTGTTTATATTTTATAAAAAGTTAAAATATTCCTAAAAAGCTTATTTGGTTAAGTGTAGAAGAAATTAGTATGGTTATTTATTCTTACATTATATTAAAATATATTTATACAATAAGAAAATTAAATATACAATTTCTTTGGATATTAGAAAAATAAATTGATAGTTGCATAGTTTAGTTATCTAAGACAGCAGTGTGTGAATCTTAAAAATGTTAATAAATATATTTTATCTATTATTTAACTCTATTTTTACTAATTTTAATCATTTTAATTGGCTATTATATTTATTAATAATTAATTATAAAAAACAGAAAAATTTCAAATAATTAGATTAAACAAAAGGCTGAATTTTATTTATTTAGATATATAAATATACCTTTAATTTTAATACATATGAATATTTTTATTGCCTATGAGGATTATTTTATGAAAATAAATTGTAGGAAATATCCAAAATAATATTCTTGTTCTTTTTGAAAATTAAAATAATTATCTAAACATTATGGTAGTTTGGTAGTTTTAGTGTTTATAGTGGATCATACATTTAATAAAGCAATAGATTTTATTTAATGAATGAATACATTTTAATACATACATTTATATAAACGATATTAATTAGTAATTCAGGATCCTCAAATAATGAAGATTTTTATCATGTAGGAAAAACTTGTATTAAAGAACTGATCAAACTAAATTTATCTTAAAATATTAACAGTTAAAACTGCTTTCTGCAATTTTATTACATATTTGTATTTGTCAAAATAGAGGAGGAGGAGGATAAAAGATATTTTTACTTTAAATTTGCTTTAATATTTATTTTTCATAAAAAAAGAATTTTCTTTATTAGATCTAAGAAAACTCAAATATTTTAAAGATAAATTACACAAAAAAGTAAGAAAATATTGAAATATATTTAGAAACAGAAATTATGTATCAGTTCAATTAAAATATTGAAGATTTTTGACTTGCGTAATGCTACTCCTGCTACATTATCTCGTGCTGGTGTTCTCTTTATTAATTAAATTGATATTGATTGGGAGAAAAAAAAAAGAAAATCAATTAAGCTATTTATGTTATTTAATCAAAAATGTATTAGAATTCATGTGAGTAATGCGAAATTCAAATAAAAACTAGTTTATATATTATTTTATTATATTAAAAAATAAGGGAATTTTTAATTGGAGAATTTTAAATAAAATAATTTTTAGCAATTTTAAAATGTTATTAATTAACTCTTACTTTACAAAAATAATCAATATTAGTTTTAAATAAAGTAAATTTTATAATAAAGTTAATTTACGAATAGATAACAATATAGATAGATATAAATAACACAATAATTTTGTTATGCTTTAACTATTGCTTAAATATCATATTAATGAATAATTTCAAGAACAAATACTATCTTAAAATTATTTCTTTTTTTTCTCCAAGATTTTTTATAGTACTTTGATTGCATATGAAGAAATATCAGCTTGAACACATTTATCTATATATTTTTACAAAGTTTCTAGATAAATTTAATCTTTGTCTATGATCTCATCAAACTAATATTAATGACTTTATTATCTAATTGAACTAAAATTAATTTTTCCTCTCTACTAAAAATCTTCATAAAGAATAAGAAATTTCAAGTGTTTTGACCATATTCTTATTGATAACCTACTTTAATAATCGCCAGTAATAAATGCTTATTATTCCAGCTAACTAAGAAATCTTTTATTAGACAATCCAATTTCTTCAGTTTTTTTCTAGCTATATTAAATCTCGCCTTAAAACTCTAAACCATAGTACATTTCTCCTTCATCAAAATGATTTGGATCATAATATTCTCCTTCAACTTCAATCAGTTACTCCTCCCTATTGTATTTTTAAATTAATTTTCCTTAACGTTCATTTTTTTCTGCTTAAGAAAAGCAGATGAATAATATTGATAAAGCAATAAAAGTATTAATTTTCATCGCAGAATATCTTTTTTTGTTTATGTTTCTATAAGCTTAACTTTATATAATTAAATATTAATTATTTACTTTTAAGAAAACGAAAAGCATATATAATAAGGATAAATAGCAATAATTTTCAATTAAAATCAATCATTTTTAAAGTATCCTATTTAAAACAATTATTCATTAAATAGTTTTCTTTTTAATCAGATTTTTATTTTATAATTTTTAAATTTCAATTATTGACTTTTCGTAATTAATCATATTTTTGATTTTCTTAAAAGAAGTGTGTATAATATTTGTTAAAAACCTTACACGCGTTAGAATATAAACTAAAAAATATATGATATATTTTAATTATCTAATTATATTAGTAAATTATAATTGAAATACTTTTTAGCATATTTAAAAATTTTTTAATTATTAATGAATGATATATCTTTATTTATGAATATATGAATTTAACAATATTACTTTATTGCTAGAATAATTAAAATTTAAAATATTTATCAAAATAAGTACATATTTTTTTTATTCCATTTTAATCTTTCCAAATAATTGACAATAAAATCAATAATTGATTTTTTTATTTTTAAAAAAATATTAATTTTTTTATTTTGATTAATAGAATAAATGTAAATTTAAATAAATTAATTTGATAAAAATATATTTTATTATAAATATTTATTTATTGCAATTAATTTTGTTGTCGGCCATACTAAGGTGAAAACACCGGATCCCATTCGAACTCCGAAGTTAAGCGCCTTAAGGCTGGGTTAGTACTAAGGTGGGGGACCGCTTGGGAAGTCCCAGTGTCGACAACCTTTTTATTTTACTGAAAATAATTTTTAATCATTTAAAAAGTATTGCTTTACTAATATTAATATATTTGAGTAAATAGTAGAAAATATAAAGTGATAAAATAATGGAAAATTATTCTTCTAAATAGTTATTTATTGCAATTAATTTTGTTGTCGGCCATACTAAGGTGAAAACACCGGATCCCATTCGAACTCCGAAGTTAAGCGCCTTAAGGCTGGGTTAGTACTAAGGTGGGGGACCGCTTGGGAAGTCCCAGTGTCGACAACCTTTTTATTTTATTGAAAATAATTTTTAATCATTTAAAAAGTATTGTTTTACTAATATTAATTTATTTGAGTAAATTGTAGATTATTAAGTCAAAAAGCAAATTGAATGTTATTGTTATAAATAGTTATTTATAGATATTAATTTTGTTGTCGGCCATACTAAGGTGAAAACACCGGATCCCATTCGAACTCCGAAGTTAAGCGCCTTAAGGCTGGGTTAGTACTAAGGTGGGGGACCGCTTGGGAAGTCCCAGTGTCGACAACCTTTTTTATTTGAAAGAATAAATTAATTTTATTAAAAATTTTTATTATTAACAATAAATTTATTTTATTTTTTACTTTTGTATTATAAAATATTATTTATTTATTTTTTAGATTTACTAGTTTGTTTTTTTTAAATTATTAGATTACACAATTCAGAAGAATTTTGTCTTGTCTTTTATTATCAATTCCAGTCTAGAAAAACCACAAAACTTTTACATTAATTGAATTCTGAATAAAATAAAACAAGATATACATTCACTTTAATTATTAAATTCATTGGTATTAATAAATTAAAAAGAAGACAACTTTTTAAATTTATCATTTTTGGAAAAAGTTATGAATATTTATAAGCAAGAATTAATAATATAAATTATTAGTAAATATATCAATTATAATAAATTAATTAAATAAATAATTTAGGATATGTTCTATTATATAATTTAAGTATGAGTTAAATTTTGTTTAAAGCTATATTCTATTGACGTATTAATTATATCTCTCAAGTAAAGTTAATAATCATTTCTACAAAAATACAAAAAAATAAGAGATATTATTAAATTTAAAATATTTTATATATTTTTAGAAAATTAACTACTAAATAATAATTAATGCGCTTTAGATAAATTCTATAATAAAATCAAAAGAATAAGCTTCAAAAATTATATATAAATCTAACTAGATAGATAGATTAAAAAGAAACAAATCCTATTAATTAAACAAAAGCAGATTTATTTAATTTATTTAAAACAATCTGCATAGATATTAATAACATTGGAGCTTGTTTTTTATTTTCTCTTGATTGTTTTAGATTAAGTCTAATAAATTCAAATATTCAAATATATATATATTATTTACACTACAAGCTTATTTCTAATTCAAAAATTATTAAAAAAAAGCTTTTTTTTACAATCTAATTCCTTTTTATTATTTTATTTTAGATATTCTTATCATTTTACCTCATATTTTTTTATGAAAGTATCTGGCTATATATGCTAAAAAATATGAAAATTGTTTGACGACAGCAAACTTTATATTTTGGTAAAGAAACTCTATGTACGCACCTGATCTAATGTAAATAGTTTTTAAATTTTTCTGCTAATAAATAATTTATTATAATTGATAGTGAGTCTAAAATTAATTTTACTTATAAAATGGATTTAAGAGTAGTCAATTAGATATATTAGAGTATTATTGCATGCTAATTATCCATAAATTTCGAAATTATTTTTTAGTAGATGCAAGAAATTACTTGGTGATATTCATATTTAATATACTGAAATAAGTATAAATTATATTACAGTGAATAATAACAATATATTAAATTAGATAGAAGAACGTTTATTATTTATTAGTATTGGCTGAAGGATGTAAATAAGTGAGGTAAATAGAGGATTATTTCTTTTGAATTTGAAAATTAGATAAATTCCTAACGCATTACATCATCATTGTAAATTAAGAACATTAATTAATTACATGATTTTTAATGATGTTAAAGACACAAGAAAAAGAAGTAAAAACTTAATTTAAAATACCTACAGCCTATAAATATAAAAACTGAACAGCCAAATATTTTCTTTTGATTTCTGAAATAAGATTCATTTACATAAATCAAAGTTTATTTATTTTCTTTTTTATTCTTAACAAATTGGCCTCTGCCATTTTGCTCTGCTAAAAGAAAACCTAAAATTTAGTTATCTGACCTTTAAATCATTGGCGTTTTTCTTAAATTTACATAATATTTTTAAAATAACGATTTAAGGTTTTTTTAAACAAAGGACTATTTCCTTATTAATAACAGTTAACCACAACTCATAATATTAAAAGAAAATTAGTGAATTACATTTGAATTTTACATTCAAACAAATTTCAAAAGCAAAAAGTTAATTTGAAGAAAAAAAAAGATTACAATAATTAAAGTAAATATGATTTATCTATTTATTTAGGTAAGAGCTCTAAAAGTTGCTCTTAAGTCTTAAAATAAATTTATTTTAAATCAATTATTAAAGAACAATACAATATTAGATTAAATTCTGATGGATTTTTCTTTGTAAATATATAATATTTTATAATTTTTATATGTTTTAAAAATTCATAAAAAACCCTCACTCATTTACATAATTAAAAGCATCTAATTCCTATCAAATAAAATCTAATAAACGATACATTTTATTTTTAATACACATTAATATTTTTAGACACCTATTATGTGTGTTAGTAAATTTGAATTAATTTATGAAAGTATTTATTATTTGCTTGACTAAAAATACAAATTATAATAAGTAATATACCCACTGTTGTCAAATTAATTTAAGTTGATTTTAAATATTTTTTAATTTCCAATTCACTTTAATTTCGATTTTATATCAAACAAAATTGAATAATATCATAATCAAAATAGGCTGGGGATTTCTATCTAAAAAGATGAAATAATTATTAATTTACTGTACATAGATGCCATTTAAAAGCTCATCAATTTTAAATATTAATATAATAATTATTATTTAAAACAAATAAATCTAATAAAAAAATTTAATTAAAAATAAGATAAAATTTAAAAATAATCATATTTTCCCTTTAAAACAAAAACCTCATTTTCAATTTTTGTTCATGATAATTAGATCAGCTATTATCAAATTTTACATTTTAATTTTATCAATTCAATACCATGCTTAAGCGTATGATATATCTGTAGATGGATGTTCTAGATATAATAATGTAAATGATGGTAAAAATTAAAATTAATGCACTGAATGCTATGAAGGCTATTAATTAAATACCAAAGAAAACCTATGCGTTTATACTAAGTGTGACAATAGTTTATATTATGATAAGAATTTAAATACTGGCACTTAAAGCTAAAATAATAATTGTGTTGCTATTTGTAGTCCTCCCAGTTGGATAAATAAGTAGACTAGCTTGTGCAGAAGCTAATTAAAATGCTCCTCTTCAATAGATTCCTATTAAAATAAAAATAAATAAACTGCTGTCATAGATTTTTTTGTTTATCAAAATGATTATTATGTGGCTCAATCAAGTTTTCTATCTATCTATGATAAAAATGAACTTTATTTTATCAAAAATTTGCAATTTTAAAAAGATGACATTAATTCATTTAATGTGAATGGTATCATATTCGTAATAAGCATCGATAATACTATATCTATTTGGGACATTATAAGAGAATCAAGAGTCATATCATAATTCGATTAATCATCTATGATTTCTTTCAACCCTAAAACTAAAATTATTTCTATGCAGAACTAATATCTTTTAGTTTACAATGTTTTAACTAAAAGTATCTCATTTTAGATATTTTATGACTAAATTAGGTCAATTTTTTCTTTATCTTAGAATTATTGTACTATAAACATAAATGCATAGTCAATTATGTTGATTGATTAGTTTTTATTTGTTTAAACAGAAACTGCTATTTCAGCTTTTTAGATTTTTGTTTCTGTTAAAGATAATAATAACTTGAATTTGAGCAACGAAATGAGTTTTCAGTTTTAAATTTAGTAAAATAATAACTATTTTAATATTCTCTCATAATCCTTGCAAGGAATGTACATAGGTTGTTTTGACCAATCAATATTATTAATAAATCTAAATAATAAATAAGTTCAACCAATTTAAATTGGAATGTTGGATAATCAAACTATTTAAAAAACTAAAATGTTTTATCTTTCAGATACTGATTAAACTGAGCTTTTGATTATCAGTACAAATAGTTAGATGATTTTTTATGATATAAAAACTAACTCATCAAATTTAATTATATAAAATAATCCTTAAATTAAAGATTTTGAGATTTGTAATTTATTAGATAAAGTAAATTAATTAATTGTACTTTACGAAAATCAAGATTTACAAGTTTTTTAGTTTGACACAAATTAGTAAAAATTTATTCAAATTAACTAAAAGATTTCCTTGAATTACTATCCCTAAAATTTCTTTAGTATTAAATACCAATATATAACAAAAGATAATAAAGAATTTATTGATGAGATAATAAGTACAAATCTTGATTCTATTTAGATTATTAAAAAGAATATTCTCTAGTTACAGTAAAATTAATTGATATAAATTTAAACAATTACATAATTTCATTCAAGCTTTCCTACACCATCTCCTGTTTTATTGTAAAATAGTCCATACTATAATAATTATAAAACAATTGATTTCTTTTATTATCCATCAATATTAGTTCAAATAAATAATTTCAGTTCAATTAATTTTTATGATTGCTCAGATGGAATTAATTGTAAATTTAAAAAATCAATATTTCTTTATCCGATAGAATAATTAACCAAATTTTTCAATAATAAAATAATCGCTTACAGTTTGGCCTAATTTTCAATTATTGACATTTTTAAATAAAAGATTGTATATTTTATTGGGGATTCAGCTGTTTAGTATGCAACTAATTATGATAAACTCATAATAGCTACCAATGGATGTTTAAGAGTCTATTCATCAGAGTTAGTAGTTTTATATGAAAATTGCAATTCAGATTTTTCAAATTTTAGTACTTTTAAAACTATATATTTAAACAATGATCTAAGGGTTTTGATGACATTTAAACTTGATAATCAATTAAATATTACTACTTATTAAATAGATTTAACAAAGCAAACTATTTAAAAGATAAATTCATTAAGCGATTCTAATTGTTATTCATTTAAAATAATGACAAAATTTTCTTCTTTGTAAGATGAATTGATTAATAACTTCTTTATAGAACAAATAATAATTGTAGATAAATTAAACAACTTAAACATTTATGATTTAAATTTGTCACTTATTTATTAAACAAATTAGCTATAAATATAAGCTATACTATTTACTAGTAGAGTATTGAATGATGATAAAATGTATATTTTTTGGGGAATAACTGAGTTTCTTTTATTTAATATCGAAAATAATAATTAAATTTTAACCAAATCCGATTTTACAATTTGGTACGAATCTCAAATATTGGAAGCTGAATAAAAAACAAATGGATAGAATAATTTTTACTCTATAAAATTTTTTAAAGATAATAAAATATATGAATTCAATATAAACATGTAAAGAAATTTAACAAACGCTACTCGTATAGATTAGATGAAAGACATCTCTTAATATCCTTTTTTATTTAATAACATAAGAAAGTCTTTAAACTTTACATTTAATTACTTTGCTGGAGACTCTACTGGTTTATTGCTTACTACTTTATCTCCAAAATCAAAATTAACTTAAATAATTTAAATTGGAAAATATTTTATTACAAAAGTTATTCAAATTTAATAGTTAGGAATAATTTTAAATATTCCATTGAATAAAGATTTTTCCTATTTTGATATGTTCACTAATAAAGAAGTATAACTACCTAATTCAAAAAGTTTTAATTATGCTCTTGTTAAATAAAATACAGTTATTATTTGTAGCACAAGAATTTATATTAATAATTAATAATATGATAAAATAATTCTATACGATTTATCATAAAAAAATGCATTCCTTAGTTTTTAAAATCCAATTATGTTATTTGGATTTATTTATGATGAAAGCGATAACCTAATATATGCTTATGGGGAAAGCATTTTAATACTCAATCTAAAGCTTTAACTCGTTTATACAATTTAAGATTAAAAATACAAATATCTAAAATACTAGCCATGTCAAACCTCTTAAGATTATTTAATATGTTTATAATGGCACTCGCAATCAAGCATTACTTAATTTGAGTATGAAATACTTATATTTCATAAAGCATTAAAAGATTTTTAAAAAGTTTACCTAGGTTAAGCGGAAAAAATAAATATGATGGTAGATGCATAATATTAAAATATATTTATACTCTAAGTTAATTTTTAAATATACAACTTTTAAGGATTTTAGAAAATGACAGTATAAAAATAAATTGATAGCTGCATATTTTAGTCATCGGTGATGATTTGTGAATCTTAAAAAAGTAAAAAATTAATATATTTCATTATATCTTTAATTAATAATTTATTTTTCAATTATTCAATAAATGAGCACTGGAAATCCTCAATTTAAGTGTGCAAAAGAATTATCAAATTTATTTTGAGTTAATTTTTAAAAATTTTAAAATTTCCATCTTTTTTTGATAAAATAATAATTTGTAACTTGTCTGTCTACATTAAATACTAATTTTAATTTTAAAATTTATAGAATTACTTTTAATTGACAGGCTTACTCTTGCTTTAACAGAGTTGGGTGTTCCATAAGATGATTCCTCAAACTTAAAATATATTTATATTGACTTTTTAAATTATTTATTATTTTAAACATCAAGTTCACCTTACAAGATTTCTGTATTAGATGTCTCTACTAAATAAATAATAAACAGTTTTTCTTCTACACCTTAATAAGGTTAATTGATTAATATTAGAGACTTTTAATTTGATTATAGCTTAAGTAACTGCTTAATGTATATTGATAATTTGGGAAATTTTTATTTATCTTCATTAGATAAAAGTTATGCTTTTCAAAATTATATCACAACAAATGAGTTCAATGATTCAAAAATTAGACTTTACTATTTTTATTATAATAATATTACTAATGATATTTTTATTTATTAAAATTGCCTTTACACATTTGATCTAAGCATATTAGGATAACCTTATGAGCCTCAACTAAATGAACCATATAATTTATTTTCCAAAATATTTATAAATAACTTACAGACTGACTACCTAATTTTCAATAAATAAAATAACACAATTTTTAGATACACTAATAGTTATTTAAAATTTGAGTTAGATATTAGCAGTTCTCAAATGGTAGACATCCAATATAATCAAGCATTCGATATTTTAGTTATTGCTTTAGAAGACTCTATTTTATGTTACTAGCAGTATTAGTTTAGCAAAAGCAATAATATGCTTCCAATTATATACAAGCTTGATAATATTCAATTCTTGTAATTTATTGCTGATAATCTAATACTTACCTATGACTAACAGATTTTACATTTAAATATTTAAATTGGTATAATAGTGAATATAATTTAGTTTAATTCTACCTAACTAGTAACTTCTTATAGCTTAAATAATAACCAAGACTTTCTCTTAGTAGGATTTAGTGATAAATAAGTTCTTCTATACAGTCTTATTGACAAAAAATAATTTGTATTTGGTGCATCATTTAAAGACCCTCTTAACTCTTCTATAACAATTATGTAGTTTATAGAAACTGAGTAAGTGGCTTATGCTGTTTCGAGTGATGGAATAATAATCTAAATAGATATCTCTAATAAGCAATAAACTTAATAAATAGATTTAAAAAATCTAGTCAGCGAAAATCCTAATACTACCATAGCAAAATTTTTAGTTGACGAGACTTATAAAAGATATATTTTTTGCTTCTTAGGATAGAAAAAAGCATATGTATGGAATTACTCATAATAATTGCAAGAATAATATCTTTTTTTACCCTCAATCCAAATTAAGAAGTTAAAAATAGAGCAAAATTATATACTTATTTCTTGTGCTTTTTAAATAAATATATTTTATCTTGACACTTCAATCCGGTTTTTTACTATTATTAAGAAAAATTTTATTAAGGATAAAATAATAGACTTTTCTTTTGTTTCAGACAAGGTTATAGCAATTTTCTTCATAGATAAATTTGAACTATTCTTAATTCAAGGAGAAAATGCTAAATTAGTTTCCTAGCAGGACTATTCTTATCCTAAAATTTTAGATTATCATTTCGATTCTTTAAACAATTCTGTAAAAATAATAGTAATGCATTAAAAAGGAATTTTCGAAAATAATTACAATTTAGATACTTTTTCTTAAGATTAAATCTCAGAATGCACTCTTTTAATATCAAATTCATAAATAGCATAAGTCCAGAAAAATTTAAATTCGGTTTATCCAAAACAAATATAAACTTAGTAAATATATGGGATCACTTTAATAGATTAACAAAATTATTAAAGTTATGTCTATTTATAAGTTACAAGTGATGATCTATAAAAGACAATCTAATACATTTCTTAATATTAAAATAGATAATTTGTGGTTTCTTCCTATAACATTTAGAATAGTGTTGTACCTCTATCAAGTGATACTTTTTCAAGCCTAAACCTACCAATCTTTTAGCTTGCTAACTTCAATTTAGATTTCTAAAACAATAAAAATATAAATATAAATGTTAATTAGAATTAAAATACCCAACAAATTATTTTTTAGAATATTACAATAAACTTTTAATGCTTTAGCAGTAATAAAATAATCTTTTCAGATGTTCAAAAAATTATATTTTAAAATATTAAAATATCTTAGTAAGACCTTAAAGAGTGTTCAGGTGACCTCAACTAAGCAAACTCTTTATTTTTTTTTAACAATATATCATAAATTTTAATTTACAACCTAGAAATATTGAGTAATAATTTTAACCAGATACATGAGATACCCATATTTTAGTTTGATTAAGTAAATAGCATTTAAATATCTGGATTAACTGTGGTAAAAAACACAAATTTAAATAGCTTGATGAGTTTTTTAAATGCCTATAATGTAACCCTTTTAAATTTATCAATTAAAAATAATACTAATCAAATAGTAGTAGAATAGTAAGACTATGGAATATTCTCCTTTTC